TGGGTAGCCGAGAGTACCCGCAGGGCATGTGGCACTCCCACCACGGCAGCCCCGGCCTCTGCCGCTTGTCCTTTCCAGAGGGGCCGCGAGGTGTCCTAGGGCCACCTGCCGGCTGCAGGCGGGTTGCTGGGTGTGGACTGTAATTTCTCGTGTGTGCTGTGACAGTGAGTGTCGCTGTTTTAAGGTCTTCTTTTTCTCTGTGATTCTCTTGTTCCGTAGCGTCGTCCCCCAGACTACAGTAATACTCAACAATGACCGGCAGAACGCCGTTGTAGCCACGATGGAAGACCCCTTGAGCAGCAGGGCACCGGATTCCCCGGACAGTGTCCTTAGCAAGTCAGTAGCACGGCACCGCCCACTCCCTGCACTCACTGTCAGGGTCCCCCAGTCGGTCACTGTCCCGACCTCCGTGGGTGTGGGCGGAGCCAGTCGCCGGCCGAGCCGCAGTCCTGGAGATCGGTGCTGGGGCAGGCGACGACACCCAGTGCCTGCCCTGGCTGGGGGCCACACGCAGCGGGAGCGGGAGCGGCGAGGGCCTCTGTGCGGCTGCTGTGTGTGGTGAGGGAGGGCGTGTCCCCGCAGTGATGGCGCCGCCCACCGGCCTGGTCCCTGGGCCCTCCCCTCTGCCTGTTCGTGTAGCAGCTCCAGGTAACGAGACGCCCCATCGCACGTGCTAGGGACGCGGGCGTGTTGAAGTCATGACTTTGTCTTGCACCTTTTCTTTTGAGACATTTTAAATAAACCTTGGTCAGAAGTGGGAGTGGACAGAAGCCACTGTCACCCCCAGAGGAAGGTGGCGGACGTGGCTGATGGCCCTGCCCAACACCTGGGCTCGACTTTCCCCGGGAACCCCGCCAGGGCCTCGTGCCGTGTCTCTGCCCCGCGTCTTTGCAGTTGCCTGGCTTCTCCCAACGGCCCTCCTCCAGCTCTGTTCCCCTTTCCATTCTGAACTTGGCTGTTCTCTGGGCTAGCAGCGGTGTCTGCAGGGTCTGGTGGGGTGGAGGGTGGGCGTGGACCTGGAACAAGCTTCTGTGGGTGGCGAGGACTGGGCCCAGGAGAGTTCCTGGCTCCCCCTACGGTTAGGGGTTGGCAAGCTCAACTGGGACAGTTCTGCAGGTCCACCCAGGCGTTGCGAGTGGGGCGGCTCCCCCACGCCCTGGTGGGCTGGTGGTTTAACACCTTATTTTTGACTCGCAAACTCAGAAACGGCCTCCTCCCTGCGGGTGCCCAGCAGTCCAGTCCCACGGAGGGTGCCGAAAGGGTCGTAGAGGTGACAGGTCTGCAGAGCTCCTCACTGAGCCCCCGGAGCTGGACCGTGGCCGTGTTGGCTGGTGCCATCTTGAGGCTGCCGCTGGACTCCTTGCAGTGGGATGCTCTCGGGGCTCTGCTGGCTCTCTGAGCCGCCCCTGCGGGCCTGGTGCAGAGCCTGGGGGTCCCAGCGTCTTGCAGGAGAGGTGCCCTGTCTAGGCCTCCGGGCACCCTGTCCCCGCTGCCCCACACCATCTCAGAAGCCGTGGTCCCTCTCCCAGCACCCGTGTTTTACAGGGAAGCCCCCAACATCAGAAAACCGCATTTGGGGCCTAAGCCACAGGGAGTGAGGATATCAGTGCTTTGGTGACAGGAATGCTCACGTTTCGTCCTGTACGGCCTCTCAGCCCGACCCTGCCCGCATCCAGGGCGCCACCAGCCTGCATGGAGGCATAGGGCGGCCCTGTGACCCGGCATGCAGGCGGGTCCGAGAGAACCGGGCGGAGGAGCATGCGGGCGCGGCCTGGGCCGACGGTGCCCGCTCTCACGACCCTGGCCCGTGTGTTTGTCTCCCGCCAGCGCTGTGCCGGGGCGTCGGCAGAACACCATCGTGGTGAAGGTGCCAGGTCAGGAGGACAGCCACAACGAGGACGGCGAGAGCGGGTCCGAGGCCAGCGACTCCGTGTCCAGCTGCGGCCAGTCGGGCGGTCCGAGCGTGGGGAGCAACGTCACCCTGATCACCTTGAACTCGGAAGGTGCGTCCCGCGCCGCGGCTTTCTTCGGCCAGGTGGCCACAGGGACAGCGAGCTCGCTTTACAGAGACGCCACACGTTTGTTTTTCTAAAGTGATACGGTACAAAACAACAAGGGAGGTCACTTGCAATTCCTCCGTTCAGAGAGGAACTTCAGTCAGCACGGTTTTGTAGTTCACCTCCTCCCCAGAGTGGGCACTGCCCGCCCCCACGCAGCCGTACGGAGCCCGCTCAGCCACGCTCACACGCCCAGCTAGCACCGGCCGCTCTCCACCCATCGGCAGGGAGCCTTCCCGCGTCACGGCTCGCGGGTGCTCGCAGGCTCTGCCCGCTCGCTGGCTCCGCCCTCAGGCCTTCGCCTCTCTGTGGTGGGGCTTGACTAGACGCTCAGAGCGGCCTCTGGGCTCGATGGTGGGCTTTACGTTGGGCCCATCGTGCAGCTGTGCTGCGCCTTCCGACAGGTCGGACGGGGTGCGTGGGTGTTGCTGAGCCTCCAGCCAGGTTTCTGGGAGTCCTCGGGGGAGGGAAGGCCCTGGTCTCTGTAAGGATCTGAAGTGGTCCTTGACCTGTGGTTAGCCTGACTGGCCTTTCAGAGGCTTCGTGCCCCAGGGACAGTGTGCGCTTGGTGACTGACTGGCACTGCTTACCCTGGTGGCCCAGCTCCTGTAACCACGTTACTGTGGCGAGGAGGGAGCCAGGCCTCAGGCGGCCTTAGCTGTGGTCGGGGCACCCCAAAGCCTGATTCCGCTTACTGGTGAGAGCTGGGGAGGCCTTCCTGTCCCTGCTTCTGCCCTGGGGTTGCTGCACAGCATGCTGGAGGTCCCTCTACCTGGCAGGAAGGACACCTCTGCTGGGGTCATGACCGCCTGCCACACAGAGCAGGGTCGCTCTCGGACATCGGTTCTGCCCCCACCAGGGACCGTGGGGTCTGGGGGCAGGGTGGAGGGGAGGAAGGGGGCGACGCTGTAACCCTGACCTCATTAACGTCCTGTGACACCGGTCACCGTAAAGCACACTTTCCCGTGGGTTTCAGTGGCCACCAGCCGTGTGGCCGTCCTCGCTCTCTAGCCCTGGAGCCCGTGTCACCCCTACAAGAGACCTTACACAGCCGCTCCCTCCGTCCCGCCCTCGGCCTCCCCCAGCCTGTGTCCCACCGTCTGGGTGTGCCGCTGTAGGCCGACATGGGGTTGCGCCTGCGTCGCAGGGCAGCCTAGCGGTGTCCCACGTGGCTCTTCCACTCGTGAGCCCATGCCCGTCGGGCCGTCCCGCTCTCCAGCTACCAGCGTCTGTGTAGATGGTGCGGACGTGTGAACGGGAAGGTCGGCGCCACTGGCTTTGCCCCGTGCATTTGAGGAAAGAGGGCTCCCATTAGCTTTGTCCTTGTGGGAGCCACTGCGGCAGCCTGGAGGGCTAGCTGCTCTCGCTTCGGTCCGTGTGGGCTCTGAATGCTCACTGGCCCTGACGTTTGGTTTAACTGTGTCAGCTGGGGAACATGCAATTCCCTTTTTAAAGTTCCTGTATCTTCATTGAAGTGACTAACGTGGAATACATTTCAGTTGGGGAAAAGGCAGGCTGGCCCTAAAGTGGACTTACGCCAGGAACCCACTGGCGCCCTCAGTACTAGCGTCTGTAAAGGAGCACAGACCCTTCCAATCTGAGAAAGTCTCCCGGGGAGACAGTCTCTCACAGCAGAGACTGAGCAGTCTCATAGCCACATTCGAAACGGTCTCTTCGAAGCAAGACTGAGGTACAGCACGTGCCGTTCGGCCTGGGCAGACTGGGGAGGCGTTTCTGACTTTGTTCGAAGCAGCCGTAATTCAGAACTGTCCTGTTGCTCGTTTCGCTGTCCGTCTCTCGCCGACTGTCCTCGGGATGTGCGCCTCAGCAGCAGGGGAGCCGCCTTCCTCTCCTCGGCCTGGGGGCTGTGCGGAGGCAGGTGGGGTCACGTCAGGCACTGCCGTTGGCGGAAGTGCTGGGACGTCGCTCGCCGGTCCGGCTGACACCACCTGTCGGGGTGTTGTGCTCAGCACTTCATGCAGTTCCTGACGGCGCCGAGGCTTGTTTAGCCACTTCCCGGCCCGTGTCCCGCAGCCGGCAGGAACTCGCTCGGCGGGGACACGTGCGTCCGCGTCGTGTGGCCCGTCGTGACCGTGGGGCGTGCCTGAGGGCGAGAGGCCGCTCTTTCTGCCAGTGCAGCCCCAACGGGAGCCAGGTGCTGCAGGTGGGCACGCGGCTCTTTCTGTCTCAGGCGAGCATTCATGTGCCTGAGGCTTCAGAGGCCGCAGGTTTCAAAGTGGCTTTCTTGAGAGTTCCGAGTGGGTCGTCGGGCCTGGTGTGCTGTTTGATACCACACTGGAGTCAGCTTATACTACTGTGTCCCTTTGGCCCGGGTCTTCCTGGGGTGACTCCGTGTGCTGAGGCATGAGCTCTGGTCGCGGTGCACAGGCGCTGAGCTCCCCTCTCGGTCCCCAAGTCTGTCCCCGGCTGGAGCTTTTGCTCTTTGTTCTCATGCCTGGTCAGGCCCTGAAAGTGCGGGGTGTGACCGTCCAACAGTGGAGCTGACTGGCCGAGCCAGACGGGAGCACCGAGGTGGGGCAGGACAAGGGCCGCTGACTATCAAGGGCCCTGCTCAGGTTGGTTCTTAACGAGAAGCTGGCATCCCTGCTGTGCACACGTGATGGCTCTTGGGCCCCTCAGCTGACCCTCCGTCCCCTCTGCTGAGAGCTCCACCTCACGGGGAGGGCCGCACTCCCGTGCGAGTGTGTCGCCGGTGTCTGGGCCGGGCGCAGTGAGGGCAGAGGTGCAGGTCTCTGGCGAGGGAAGGTGGTCGATCCTCCAGCACGGTGGCCAGGCTCTCAGAGCAGCAGCCGTGCATGTGATGAAGGAAAGCCGTCCAGAAACATCCCTGAAGATTTAGTGCACGGTTCAGTTTACACGGACTTCTCCCGTGGTCCCAGGTGTCACGCTAACACGTCTTCATGGCGGTTGTCTGCCGATCACGGAGGAGAAGGGTTGTAGACAGGTTCGGGATCCGTGTGAGAGTGGATGCGGGACTCGGCCAGGACGGGTCACAGCCCTGCTCGGTCGGGTGGGGCGGTGGGCTAGGACGGCAGTGGGGGCACAGTCTAACCTCTCGCTGTTTCCTGAAGGGTGACCTGGGCCACCTTGCCTAGCCACAGGACAGGGCATCCTGGGACATTGCGGCAGTCATGGCTGAGTGGGAGATGAGGCTGCCCCAGGGTGAGCTTCTCCGGCCTCCTGCTTGGGACTCCCCGGCGTGGCAAGGACGCACGGCTCTCCTGATTCAGTGTCCCATGAGTCGGAGCCTCTTCAGGCTGCTGTGTGTCTCCTCTAGGTGCCAGAGTCCCGTCCCTTGGCCCCCCACCCTGCCCAGGAATGGGAGTGGGCAGGCCGGGCTCCCCCACAACCCCTGGCCAGGCTCGCGGGAGCTGTGCACCCAGTGCCCGCACCTCACACAGGAGGGGCTTGGTTTGGAGAGTGGTGACGTGGTGCCCTCAGACTGCAGATGCAGGGCGGTGCCAGCAAGTCCATCCTGTGCTGCTCCTGCTGGGTCTCAGCAGAGGCATCTTCCGCGCTGCACTAGGGAGCTGGGTTCTGATTCTTTTTGTCCTTTTTTTTTTTTTTTTTTTTTTT